ATGTTTTAATAAAGTTTTTACATCTTGTGCATCAGCGACACGTTTTTGAACAAGGTGGCTAGGACGTCAAGATGTCTAGATGTTTTGAATAAACATTGGAATTTCTCATTTCTGGTCGACACATATTTCGAAAACGTGGAATAATACGTTGCGATCATTTTAACTACGGCAATACGTCATAAAGAGCACGTTATTGTGTTTATTGCAAGCAGCTGCTGAGGTCTAAAACTAGCACTTGGTATTTTAACACATTTGAAAATGCTCATAGGTCAGGGATCATAATCTAGGCTCATTTTATTCGACTGTAATAACGATAAAAGTGTTATCTGTGATTACAAGAAGATATCGCAGAGCCAGAAATATTGCACTGTAGTCGCCATCTTGTGCTTATTCACTTTGTTAAGTGCCACTTGTTTTCCTGATACCGTGCTGAAACATATAGGCTTTCGAATAACTGTAACTTTGGGATACAATGGCGGAAAACAGTTCTCTATTTTTCTTGCCACATTCATCAAACTTACAGGCATCATTTGCGAGAACAATTTAAAATATTGTACGCACTGTAAGCGAGTGTGAATTTGTGGGCTATGCAGATAAGGAAGGCTCGTTTAGCGTTTAAGAATTTCCAGTTATAGACATCCTGGTGCCACATGCATGTGCACTACAAACAGGATCATTCTTCCTCTTAATTGAACACGGTGCTTCAATACCGCTTTCTAGATTGCTCAGGGAACATACTATTCCATGTTTATCGCCGAGTTTTCAACTTAGTTAACGTAAGAATTTATTTAAACGTTTCTGTGATATGTCGGTGATTTTAGGAATGGAAAAGATTTGAAATGACTGCCTTGATTAAATTCACTTAAAAAGAGGCACAAACACATATATATATAAAGTATCTGAATACTTGATATATTTTTTTCGGTCAAAACACACAAGCCAGAAATTCCTTTCAGAGCGATAGTGTCCGAAAGCGACACGTGACAAAATGTTGTTTCGAGGTACCTGCAAAGCTGTTTAGAAACTCTTGCTATCCCGGATCTTTACCGTGTCAGTAATTCCGAAGAGGTGGTATAGTTTTTGAGTGCCGATAGTTCTAGCGAATGTAGCGCTTTCAGTATAGACATTGAGGACTTGTACCATTCGATACCTAGAGATGAGCTGATGGCAAGCGTTCAAAGCTGCATCGCGCAGGATACTGATGAATTTTCTTTCAGCCTGAAGTGTGGAACTTCTGTATACAGTTTTCTAGAATTACTTAGCTTCTACCTGAAGTCAACTTTTGTGTCTTGGAGTGGCAATATTTTTGTCCACCAATAGAGGATGACGACCTTTATACAATTGTGACAAAACATATCCTGCTGCCCCTGTAAAGCTCACAAGTTTGTTAGGTTCTCTTGGCTTTCTGCCAGACGCTCAGACTACATGCGTATGCACTATATATAGGTGCTGTGAAGTGCAAAGCGTTGCAGGCACGCACTGTGGTTCCATAAAGTTTTCTTAATTGTGAAATACATTGCCTCTGTGTAATGAATGAATTCAGTCAATGCCATAACATCAAACTTTACAAATTCTGTTTAAGTAAGCACTGAACGATTTACAACATCTATACCACTCTTCTCATTACACCTTTGCCGTGATAAGGCTGCAGCAATACTTTCACTTTTCTAAAAGGTACTGTGCAACATATGTGCAGAATTCAGTTCCTGTGGAACGCGAGTAAGTTTCTTAATCAGTATATGTCAGGCATCTGGCGTTGTCTACGGCGTCCGGGGCGCCGCTCTCACTCTCCGCTCTAACTCTCTCACCCATAGCTGCGGGGGCGCGCGCTTATCCTTGCCCCTAGCAACCGGAGCATGGGGTGCGAGAGAGTGTAGGAAAGGGTAGGTGCAGCGCTTCGCCGATCCTTCTCTTGCTGTTCGCCATCTCTCCTCCCTGGCCCCACTTTCTCGTCCACTCGCACCTCACTTTCGACAGTTCCACTGGCTAAGCGCCTCTCAAGAACAACTGGAAATGTGTGCTAGAGATGCCCCTGTGAAACGCCAACGCCGAGCAGAGAACGCTGTTTGTTTGTTCACCTCAAGTATGTTTTCACCGTGCACGCTAGCTACTAGAGCTGGGAACGCACACCGCGTTTCTCGCGACAGAAAAATGCCACGAGCGGCGAACGGTGCGATTGGCTGCATGGTGTAAAAAGAATCACAACATATCCACGGAGTGAATGATGATTTGGGGGGGCGAAGCGTTCGTCAGTACATCCGCGTTTCCGTCCGTCCATCAGTTCTTGCTTGTATCCGTTCATGTGTCCTTCCACGCGTCCGTCCGTGTGTCTGTTCATCCGTGTGACCATCGGTGCGTCCATCCATCCATGCGTCCGTCCGTTCTTCCGTCCGTCCGTTCGTTCGTCTGTCTGTATATCCATCGGTACGTGCGTGCGTCCATAAGCGCATGCCCCTGTCTTTCTGTCCATGTCTAAGTAGTGCGCTCTCATTTCAAAACAACCCTATAAATAGGCCTTCATAAATTACGAGAAGTCATTTGACTCAGTGGAAACATCAGCAATGATGCAGGTACTACGGAATTAGGGCATCAATGAACCGTACGTAAACATACTGGAAAAAATATACAGTTTACAGGAAGATTTCATGGTCCTAAATTGGGAGGAGTTGGGGATAACAGTTAACTAACAGTATCTTAGTAACCTGTGATTCACTGATTACTTTGCTTTGATGAGTAACTGAAGATATGTATTACAGCTCATGATTACTGAGCTGGGCACTGAAAGCTGTACAGATGATGTGCAAATTAATATCCATGAAACTAAAGTCAGGCGTAACATTCTCGGCAAGAAAACAGCACTTTGTGATAGGTGCAGAGACAGTCGACGTTGTAAGGAATATGTCTACTCAGGACAGGAAGTAGCCATGGAGCCGAACCATGAGAGGGAAGTAACTAAAATAATATTGATGGGGTAAATACCATTCGTTAAACAATCTCAAATCATGACTGGTACTCTGCCGCTAACCCACAAGAGATTGATTGATTGATTTGTGGGGTTTAACGTCTCAAAACCACCATATGATTATGAGAGACGCCGTAGTGGAGGGCTCCGGAAATTTCGACCACCTGGGGTTCTTTAGCGTGCACCCGAATCTGAGTACACGGGCCTACAACATTTCCGCCTCCATCGGATATGCAGCCGCCATAGCCGGGATTTGATCCTGTGACCTGCGGGTCAGTAGCCGAGTACCATAGCCACTAGACCACCGTGGCGGGGCTAACCCACAAGAGGAAGGTTTATAACATCTGCATCTTGCCGTTACTTACCCACGGAGCAGAAACGTGGAGGCTTACAAAGAGGGCTCAGCTTGCATTGCAGACGAGCAATCAAGTGATGAAAAGGAAATTGATCGGTGTAACCTTAAGAGACAAGAAAAGAGCACAGTGGGTCAAGGAACAAACTGCTGTTAAGGATATCATAGTTGATATCAAGAAGAAGAAGAAATGGACATGGAACGGGCACGTAGCGTGTAGGCAGGATAACTACTGGTTATTAAGGGTAATGAGTGCATTCCCAAAGAAGGCAAATGCACGAGGGGTAGACAAAATGTTAGGTGGGTCGATGAGAATTATAAACAATTGTATCGGTCCAGTTGGTACGAATCCATCTTGGTAGGAAGCGCAGCCACTATTACACTATTATTATTAAGCGCTTGTGTTGTGTGTTCTGCGTAATAGTGGCTGCGCTTCCTACCAAGATGAGATTAAAAAGTTCGTAGGTATAACGTGGCAGCAAAAAGCACAAGACCAGGTTGACTGGCGGGAAAGCGCTGAAGTGGGCGTGGTCAGGCTGATGTTGATGATGACGGGAACCATGCAGTGAAACAATGCGAGGAAACAAAAACCCAACCACGCGTGTCTTGTCCCTCGTCCTTACTCGTCTGCTACTCCAGGCACCCCCCCCCCACACCTCGGGATAACTTAGAACACGAGCGTAGACAACAACGGCAATACTCCCCGCCCCATTTTCGGCTGAGTGTGAAAGAAGCACATGAGTGGCACCCCCTGCAGACAACTACATATCCTAGCCTGCGTTTAAAACATGCGATGCACCCAACCGCATACGCCAGTTCTTGCACGTGGTGTGGAGGACAGCAAACACCGGCTCACATTACGTGGGCATATGAGTTAAGGCTGGCCAAAATTAATACGCCTCAGATTCCGGCGAAAAAAATTCACTATGTAGCATTGGGAGAACTTGCTCGCCAGCGCGGAAAAGGATATTCCAGTGGCGCTTCTAGACCAGGCGCCCGGGCTGCTGAAGCCAGCGGAGCCCTGGACTAGGGGCCCCGCCCACCTGCTTTGAAACCTTATTTCATTTTTTTCCCTCTGTAATAAACGTTTTTTTTCCATTCCGTTCCCAGGTTTCTCTCTCCGGCAAAACTTGGTGACGTCATCCTCATGGACTCACGCATCGTTCACGCGGGACGGAGGGTCGCCTACGCCGAGCTCGACATTCTCGATAAAGCTACGAAGCGCCTGTTGGTTCAAGGATCACACATATTTTACAATTTGTCAAAACCTACACATCGCGAAGGTTAAGAGTAACATCTGCCGAGTAGAGTAAGAACTCGGTCGACACTCGAAAATTTCAGTGAAATGTCCCTGGCTGCAGCTGGTCTGTAAGAAAATACGTCATCCAAATATAACGCTATAAAGGCGATTAAAGCATTCGGCCTGTCATTGAGAAAAATTCACTTGCGAAAGGCAATTTTCTTGGACGCGGCCCCCATTTTTTTTCTGATAAATAAATGGCAAGAAACACAAGTATGCCGACTTTCTCGTCACCCATCCTTGGCTCCCGGCTCCATCCACCACATACGACGCACTCGATGAGCTTAGTCTCAGCTGCAATTAGTTGACGCGTTCTGATTTTTCACTATCTATAGCACTAACAAATTTGCTATCGGTAGTACTATCGATAGCTCTTTCCTCTCATAGACAGTTCAATAGTGACTCAACTATCGATAGTACCTATAGTGCTATCGACAGTTTTTCATCGCTAGCCACTACTCGACATACAAGTCAATAATTATGGTTCCCCCCTAGAATTATTTATTTAGTTGGATTCCAATATGAACAACAACAACAACGACAACAACAACAACAACAACAACAACAACAATAATAATAATAATAATAATAATAATAATAATCTCTTACGCACCAGAACCACGATATATCGCTTAACATAGTTCTCAGTATTCTCTGCACCCGTGGAGGTTATTGAGTGGATGCAACAGTGGTGCCTTGATTAGCGGGGAAACAGTTGTCCTGCATATGTGCGTTAACTGAGTCCACTGGCCTGAGCAGTAGTTGACACTACATATGAAACATTGTTAGAGCAGCGAGTATATTGATTATCATGAGAAAATGGAATAGTGAATTTACACGCCAAAAAAAACTCTTGTTCTAGGAATTGAAAGGAGGAAGCAACAAAAAGGAGAAGGCAGGGAGGTTAACCAGAAAGACATCCGGTTCGCTACCCTACACTGGGGGATTAGGGAAGGGGACAAGAAAGACAAGAAAGAGGGAAGAGAGGGAAAAAAATTGGGGGGGGGGAAGAGACTGACAGTAATTTCACTGCAGCGTGTAGAACTCTACCGCATGTCAGAGGCGTTCACACAAGCCTGTCTTTCTCGGGAAACGCAGCAGGGCTTTCGCTGCCTTGTGGGCTGTCGAGGCTTGTGTACGTTGCTGTAATAGCACCTGCACAGAAAGAGGCCGATCATCCAGTCGCCGCATTGCGTTGGCAAGTACTTGTCTATCTGAGGCAAATCGAGGAGAATGACACAGCAGGTGTACGATATTTTCGTCGGTGCCACAAACAACGCACGCCGCACTGTCAGTAATTCTGATTTACGTGGTATAAGCTTTCGTGAAAGCAACTCCCAGCCAAAGGCGATAGAGAAGCGAAGCTTCACGTCGATGTAGGCCGGGTGGAGGCCGGAGTTGTAGTGAAGGGTCGAGCTCGTGCAGTCATGTACGTCGTATGCTTGGTGTGTTCCACTCAGTCAGTGTGAGACTGCGGGCCAGTTGACGAATCTGCCTCGCCGCATCCGCTCTTGAAAGCGGTATCGGAACGCTGTTCGCTTCTTTATGTGACGTGCGAGCAGCATGATCTGCAGAATCATTGCCGCCTATACCACTATGCCCAGGTAACCACTGAAAGACGATGTCATGGCCTTTTTGTATTGACAGGTGGTGAAGTTTCACGGTTTGGTAGGTCAACTGGTCGTGGCATCCGCGTCGGAGAACTGATATCAGGCACTGTAACGCTGGTTTTGAGTCAGAAAACACAGCCCATTTACCTGGTCTTTCTTCTGAATTGATGTGTTCCAGTGCATTGCGCAGAGCCTCGAGCTCTGCCGTCTTTGAACTTGTCACATGTGAAGTCTTAAAACACCGAGTTACTCCTTGTGATGGTATAACCACTGCTCCGCCTGAACTAGATGGCGTAGTAGAGCCATCCGTGTAAATGTGCACGTGGTTACTGTAGTTTTCTTCCAGTAGGAATAGACTCAGTTGTTTCAGGGCATGTGGCGGTAAGTCCGATTTTCTCCTCATTCGTGGAATCATTAAGTGAACTCGCGGCCAGCTCAAGCTCCAAGGAGGAAGCAGTGGCTTTGATGCAGGTGCGTATGTCTCAGCAAACGATGAACGATGCTTGGAGACAATAGTGCCGTATGTCGTGCGGGGCCTTTCAGAAGCTAGGCTCGCCAGGTGGTGAGAAGGGGTCCTGGCATAATGCCTGAGGTGCATGCGCATTGTTTCGGTAATAATATGCGTATTTATCGAGTGATCTTGAGCGATGGCAATGGTTTCAGCCGCTGAAGCACTGCGGGGTACTCCAAGGCATATCTTAAGTGCTTGGGCTTGAATGCTCTGAATTGCGCGCAGGTTGGTCTTGCCGGTGTTAGACACTGCAGGTAAGCTGTACCGTAAGAATCCGATAAACAGCACTCTGTACAGTTGTAGCATGGATGGTATGGGCACTCCCCAATTCTTTCCTGCAAGGAGTTTGAACATGTGGCATGTTGCGATCAGCCGCTTCTTCACATAGTTCACGTGTGGAGTCCACGACAGTTTTCTATCTATTATGACACCCAAGAACCTGTGGCTTCTGCTGAACGATATGTATTCTTTATTAATCGATATACTGTAAACAGACATTGGTTTCCGCGTGAACGCTACCACTGCACATTTTCCGCAGGACACCTCGAGGCCTTGTTTACGAAGATAGCATGACGTCGTTGTAACAGCCTTCTGAAGGCGGGCGCAAAGCTGAGGCCTTGTCACACCTGATGTCCAAATGCAGATGTAATCAGCATAGACAGAAAGTTCTACAGTGCTAGGTAGCTGCTCGACTAGACCAATGAGAGTTAGGTTGAAAAAAGTAGGGCTTAGCACTCCTCCCAGAGGAACTCCTCGGCTGCTGTAATAATCGGGTGTTGGGCCATTCGCTGTCATCACGTAAAATGATCTCAGCTGTAGGTAGCTGTACACCCACATATATATCTTGCCACCAAGACCTACTGTTTCCAAAGCCCTAAGGATGGCTTCATGGGTGACATTGTCGTAAGCCCCCTTAACGTCTAGAAACAGGGCGGCGCACAGTCTCTTACAGGCTTTCTGATGTTGAACATATGTCACCAGATCAACAACGTTGTCGATTGACGAACGGCCGCGCCTGAATCCGGTCATGAATACTGGATAGATTTCGTAGTGCTCTAAATACCACTCCATTCGTGTTAGAATCATTCGTTCCATCGTTTTTCCCACACAACTGGCAAGTGCGATAGGACGGTATAAGGCAATATCCAAAGGAGATTTACCAGCCTTTAGAAGTGGAATGAGGCGACTTGACCTCCATGCCTGGGGAACAGTACCAGTCTGCCAGGAGTCGTTGTATAGGCGTAAGAGGGCCTTCCGAGCTTCGTCTCCAAAATTACAAAGGGCACGATAGGTAATGCCGTCAGGTCCGGGCGCTGAAGAACGTCTGCACAGTGCCAGTTCCGCCTCTAGCTCATCCATAGAAAACTGGAATTCCATACGGGGATCACGTGAGGGTGGTGGGTTGTCAAATGTTCCCGTTCTTGATACTGTGAAATTGGAATCACCGGCAATTCTTCTACAGAAAGATTCTGCGACGTCAATCTCTCTGCATCGAAGGTGAAGTGCCAGAGATGTAAACGAGTGTCGCTGACCAAAGGTTGTGCGAAGACCCCGGACAGTTCGCCATATCAGTGATAGGGGCTTTCGTAGATCCAACGACTCACAAAAGGATGTCCAACGTCGCCTAGCCAGTTTATCCATGTGCCACTGCATTTTCTTTTAAATGCGTCTAGCCAGCCTCAAATCATCCATGCACTTTGTCCGTCGGTACCTTCGTTCTGCACGACGGCCTATTGCGCGAAGTTTCTCAAGCTCGATGTCGAAATCAGTGCGCTTGTGACTAGTCAAATGTGTATGCGTGGTATTATGCTGGACATCCTTTATCGAGTCCTCTAGGTTATATGATGAGCCGTCGGTACAGCAGTCTTCCATTAACATTTTGAACTTCGGCCAATCGGTGTACTTGAGGCCTCTTAAGGACTTGGAGGTGGTGAAACCTTCTATACACAGGTAAGCTGGTATATGGTCGCTGCCCCGCGTTTACAGATCCGAAAACCAGTGCACTTTCCTGGTAAGTGAGCGAGAAACCAATGTAAGGTCCAGGCAGCTGCTATAGGCTGATCCGCGTAAATATGTAGGGCTTCCATCGTTACAAACGCAGAGTTTGTACTCCGAGGCTAAGGACACCAACTTTCTTCCTCTAGAGTTGTCCCTGGAGCTTCCCCATAGGAAATGGTGGGCATTGAAGTCGCCAGTGATCACCCATGGCCTTGGAGTCGATGTCAGAATACCGCGTAAGCGCTTGCAGTCAAGGCGGCTTGATGGAGATAAGTAAGCTCCGATAATCGTGAAAGCAACCCTATCCTTCTTCACATAAGGCACACATACTGATTCCCTTCATCAGGCGAGACTCTGTGGTGAACGTAAGTGAGGTCATGGCACATGAATACAATAACTTTGCTGCAGTCTCTGTGAGTGGAGGACATAGAGCACTCATATCCTGACAGCTTGATTGAAGCACACAGGTTGGGTTCACAAATTACTATAATGGGGAAGCGGTTCACAAATACAAACTGTCTAAAGTCAGACATGCGCGACTTCAGTCCTCTGGCGTTCCACTGAAAGACAGATGCATTCTTGACTTCCGCTCGAAACGACGGTGCTTCGCTGGCCATGGTTTTACCTTAGAGCTGCAAGCACCGGACTCAGGGTGTCCATCACATGCAGTGCGGTCTGCGCAGCAGAAATCTTCATATTACTCAGTAGGACACGCATGGTACTCATCAGCGATTGCAGCAAGCTTATCACTTGATCTTCATTCATCGCATCACTGGTTTGAGGGGTCGTCGAGGGCAGCGGGATTCGATGCAGCTCCGAAGTAGGTGGACGTCGTGGAAGAGAGGGCCACTGTTCGGAAGGCGCGACTGCTGTCCCTTTTTTCTGTTTGGCAGTATCCGTCTTCAGTCAGCTCGGTGTTTGTGGGTCAGCCTCTTTGATAGAGAATGACATCTCTCCATCGGTAGAGGCGTTTTTCCGTGATGGTCTTCGCCCACGACGCCATCGTCGGCGTAGTGTAGCGGCAGCTTCCCTGTGCGTTGAATTGTCCCGCACCATACGCCTGAGTACCGCGTGCTCGTTTCGCACCCGCGGGCA